CACACACACACACACACACACACACACACACACTAACCAATATAAGCAGAGTACTAAACACTACAGTGTCATGAAGCCCAAGACTTTAAATTTCTCATGGCTGCTTCTTAATATGTTTAAAAAATTCTTCTGAGCTCCATAGAACCCATAGAATCCCGGACAGGTCAGCGAGCTCTGGAGCCAGCTTGAATTCACCTGGACAGCCCTTCGTCAGACAGGAGGTGACAATCCACCAGGACGTGGCAGCCTCAGAAGCTCCCTTCCTTACCTCCCAAGAGTTAACTGATGCCCACCAAGTCAGCTTGAAGCAGTTCTCAGGAGACACAGCACCCCTATTCCTGTTCACCCGCCTTTAAAAAAAAAATAATAAACAAAGAGTCTGGAATGTTGGAATTCCCGGCCACTCCCCGAGCTGTATGACTGCACATGTGCAGTTCAGTAGCCAAGCAAGGGGCCTTACTTCCTACACAATCCGTGTGCTGTGTGATGGTGTCATTTGCATGCAGCATGATCATGCAATCTATGCACATGCATCGTGTAGCTCCATAAGCCCATATGTGCATGTACAGGGAAATCCCTAGGAATTGGGTCACCTCTGCGCATGCCTCCCACAGGCCTCGTCACCCTCTCTTCTGTCCTTCCCTTCTCCTAATAAAGCTCTGATATTGGGCTTTGTCATGCCTTGTGGCTTTTCTTGCACGGTAACAGCACTGCTTAATGAATAACGCAGCATCACTGCATTAAAACCAACACCCATGGAACAATGAGACCTCTCTGAAAGGACCCTCCCATTCCCCTCCCGTTCTTACATGTCACCTGCCCTCTTGATCAGTGTGGCCATGGATGTGCACTCTAGCCAGTGTACATCCTACAAAGAGGAGATTCTGCAGAGGAAATGACCTCCGTTCTTCTGAGAGCAGCCACTTGGTCAGCAGGACGCGATGCACCCCTGCAGACTGTGCAGCTGGTGAAGAAAATATCCCAACAGCCAATGCACTGCTCTGAAGACCTTCAGGGTCACCCTACCGAGCCTTGACTGACTGGAACAGTTAAAAAAGAAGAGGTTAATATTTAGCAGAAAAGGATAATGGAAAATGACTAATAATACCAAAAAGTAAAATTCTACCAGTCACTACTCAACATTATCATCCTGGTGTGGGTTATCCAGGCAATCTGAGGCCTCCAAAGCCTACAAAGACATCTTTCAGATGGTCAGCTTTAGCCAGTTTAAAAGGGACCTTTTAATAAGACCATTCCAGGTCTTATTAAGGACTCAGTGTCTACCAAACTTCTAGAAATTACTATGTTCTGTTGCTGGAGGGCTTCTCTCCAGGTTCCCCAAGCCCCGCAGTCCCACAATCCACTTATAAAATAATCACTCAGATGCTTATATCACTTATAAACTGTATGGCCGTGGCAGGCTTCTTGCTAACTGTTCTTTTATCTTAAATTAACCCATTTTGATAAATCTATACCTTGCCACGTGGCTGGTGGCTTACCAGCGTCTTCACATGCTGCTTGTCCTGGCGGTGGCTTTATTTATATAGAATGATATCCACAGCACTTCC